CAGGGAACCCTGAAACTGATGATTACTATGACAACAAAGGCCTTCTGGAATATGCATGGAGCCACGCAGTTATATCAGATGAGCAATACGACAAAGCAAAACAAGTGTGTGATTTTAAACAATTCTATTGGTCCGATGAATGCAATCATGCCATGGACCAAGTCTTCCAAGATTACAGAGAAATTGACATATATAACATTTATGCCCCGATATGCCGTCTAAACAGCACATCCTCAATAGCTGATGATAACAATAGTAATGATCCTGAATCTTTTGTAAAGGTAGTTAGTTAATGTCACAAACTTATAGATTTTAAATCATGATCGCTAATTAATTTCTGTATCAATTGGTTTAATTTGAGGGAAATTTGGTTCTTCAGGGGAGAAAAAATTATAGACTAAGGAGGATGAGAATCTTCGGGGGCTATGACCCTTGTTACTCAAATTATGCAGAAAAATATTTCAATAGAAAAGATGTTCAGTCATCTTTTCATGCAGATACTGAAAGAGCCACTAAGGTGACATGGAAGGTTTGCGAGTAAGCACTTGAATTTGGTCCTTCATTGCACTTAATAAATTTTATTATTGAAATGTTGAATGTTGATTTCTGTGTCTAATTGCTTAGTGATTCCATTTTGCGGACTTACAACTTCTCTGTTTCCTCGGTGCTACCTATCTACTCCAAACTCACCAAGGGTGGACTTAAGATATGGATTTACAGGTTAGTAAAAATGAAATTATAACATTTATTTCTGTGTCATTATATATGTTTTATGATTTAACTAAGTCTCTTCTCTCAGAGATCGTAAAGTATGTCTTAAAATATGAGTTGATTTGTTTGTGATAAAATAATATAGATCATGTCTTGTATGTAGGGATTAATATCCATGCCCTTTACGATTCATAAAATAAAATATGGTTTATGATTTACACAAGGTGCATTGAATGACAAGGGAAATATTTGCTTTCGGCGAAAGGGTCATGTGCCCTGTATGTAGGGATTAATATCCATATACCCTTTACGGTGATTCCTTTTTTGGCATCATCATTTTTATATCATGACTGGCATAAATAAATAATGATAAAGTATTTAAATTTTGTGTATAAAAAGATATTTATGTATAATTAATTAATATAGTTGTGTGGTACAGTGGAGACGCGGATGGAAGAGTACCGGTGATAGGGACACGATATTGCGTTGAAGCTCTGGGATTACGTCTCAAATCTAGTTGGCGAACTTGGTATCATCATAATCAGGTTCACTTCAATTTTCCTAAATCAAAATATAATTTAGTTTTCGAATTTGGAAGCCCCTAATTGATTCTTAAGATAATCATAAATGTATTATTTTGATATATTGATAGAGAATGGGAAAACAATGCAGGTTGGAGGAAGGATAGTTGAATATGAAGGATTGACATATGTGACAGTGAGAGGAGCTGGTCACTTGGTGCCACTCAACAAACCCAGTGAGGCTCTTTCCATTATTCATGCTTTCTTAACAGCCCACACACTTGGATCATAAATCCACTTCTCTCACCATTTTCCTATCTATCACTCATTAAATCAACAACAATCATATGTGTACATCCTTAACTTCAAATATCCTTTAGAATGATAACAATCACATTAGTTCAATTTATTTTTACTGCATCATAAATTAATATTGGCTTAAATGTATTTTTCTTCTCCTGTGATTTTGTTTCCCTTATCATAATTTTGATCTCGGTTAATCTTTCGTTAAAAATATCAATTTTTGATCACACAACGCGATTATGTGTGATATTGAAAAATTGAAAGAAGAAAAAAGTATCAAATTATTTTAAGGTTTTCTTTTGAAAGTCAAAACTAATTTTATTAAGAACTGCCAAAATTACAAAACAAGTGATTTCGACTCATATTACATCACATTAACCTGCAATCTCGCTACATAACTAACACAATCCAATTCTAATGTAAAGACATATATCTCAACTAGTTTTCTAAAATACTATTCATATCCTGTCTGAATTTTATATTTATCAACTTACTACCATACCATGTTAATTAGTGTGTGAGTCTGAATTTTATATTTGTTTAGGGTTTAGGAATCAAAATGCATATATATTTGTTAATACGGAGTAAAAAAAATGTTATTAATAATAACATTAATAAATTAATACTAATAATATTATTAATATTTTAATAGACAAACTCATAATTTAATAAATATAAATACATCAGAAGATGTTAAAAATATATGAGATACAAGTATTGAGTATTTGCGCATAGTTAGTTTAAACACACTTTATAGTTTATACTACCTAAGCCCAACGAATTTGATAGTGGTTCATATAATCAATAGAAGATTAAAAATTAAAAACTTAAATAAATAGAAAAATTAAAGAAAATATAATTAAAAACTCTTTTTGGGATTTTTATAAAATAAGTAAAGTGAATAAAATTTAGTTTGCAAATATAATAAATATTTTGAACATATAAATTATATTATAAATTTAAGATAAATAATTTATATTGTAATACAAGGTAATTTTTATCTATTTGATAAACTTTTTATAAAAAAAATATTTTTAAATCTAAAATAAAAATAATAAAT